ATTGTGCAAAATTTTTAGTCAAATCAATTGATCAGTGCGGTTTGATTCAAAGAGAGAAATTATTGCTACTCTCAATTCAATAGGAACGTTTTTGGCCATTTACCCAGTTGAACAACGGTATCCGAAGTTTTTCGTGATTGGCCGAGAAGGTCGATTTTCCTAATTTTTGAAATGTTCTTTTTTGGAGATTTTCTTTAGTCACTATGTTTTACTTGATTTTGGTACATTGTTACTTTGAAAATTGATTCATGTCTTTCTTCAGACTTAATCTGATATTAATATACAGATGCTCGTTGGTAGCATATGCTAAATTATAATATAGCATATGCTAAAATGATTTAAGCATATGCTAAATTCGATATTTATGATCCTAATTCCGCGTCATATACTTATATGCATTATAATACAATTTATCTGCAATGACTTTTCCATAAGTCTACACATCATTAAAAAATAACTTGAAAATTTGAGTTTTTGCATATAGACATATCTAGTGTCTTACATTAGTATATAAGAATACTAAGAATACAAATATTTATTGAATCCAATTAAAGGGCCCGTTTCCGAGCATATACATATGTATTTGATATTAATTATACAGTAATTTTATAGATATATTATATTAAATATAAATGATTAAGTAACTATACTCCATACTAGATGGTGTTTGAAAATAAATAAAATAGAAACTGTTTCATCTTAAAAAAATCGAACTTTGATTAACTTGATTAAATTGTCGAAATCAAAAGCTTTGCAACTTCTTCCAATATATTTCATTTTCTATATTTTTAAAATTATTTACCTTTCAATTTTCACCTCAAAGTTGTCTGTCAAACCAAAACGGCTATCAAAAACAACAGCTACACGGTCTGTGTGAAAATTTGTGAAGAAGGTCGGTGAAATGACCGAATGAAAACATGCATCGATATAGTCATCGTGTGGTACTTGTGGGAATCCATTTCTACCAAAAAATAATATTCTCTGTAAAAGTATTTACTATTATAATGTGTCCGACACTTGAGCATGACACATTATACCATTAAAAACAAACGTCATGTTTTACTGAAACCAAGGATTAAATATACAAATCAATTTCTTAAAAAGTGACATTTTAACGAAATATATGTGCCAGAGTTGAAAAATGTAATATTAAAAAGCAGCTACTCACTACCCTAGCTCTTAATGACCACGTCGTGGACTTTCAACCGATGAGTGATGTATCAATCCATTGATACTGAGCTCAACACTGTCAAATATGAAGACGAGCATGCATACCTCCATAAATTATATTTCAAACTGTGAATAGATTCTAATTTATGTTTAGTTCTTATGAATGAGATTGCAAACAATGAAAAATTCAAATGTGACAAGAAAATTTCAATTATTTCTTGTATGTATTGTTTTCTAAATGTTATAAAACGTTAATGATTGATTCTAAAACGTTAAAATACTTACTCTGCAATTCTGTTTTCCGTTGCAGGATTAAGATTCCACTGAAAATGCATTTTATTTTATTGATTATAATTATGTTATCGAGAATAATTTGATTTCTACAGAACAAATCAAAAATTGGTGACCCCTAATATCTACACATCATTACAACAGAAATGTTTACAGCGATAAAACAGTGGCGAAAGAAAAAATATCATTTTTGAATAAAAAAAAATCATGCTGGAAATTGTTTCCAGAAAACGCAATTGAAGGAAAATACGTCGCTTTTTCTGTATATTCAATGATTTGATGCATTTAAAGACATATTATTACACTAGTAGTCAGTTTTTTCTCTTGTCTCACTGGAAACTATTTATTTTATTCATTACATTCTATCCTATTTACTTGAAATTGATCGGGTCGTTCATTAGTTTAAACATATTGTATTGTCCAAATAAACAATAGGATGGGATACAAGTTATAACATCTTAACACAATCCTCTCAAAATAAGTACAATGTACAAAATTTCAAGATGACAACAATTATATTATTTAGAACAACATGAAAAATATATACAATAAACATATTCTGTTTAAACAGTAACAGTTGGGTACGAATACATTTAAGAAACAACAAAATTAATCAAAGAATCATTTTGTATGGCGTATATAAGTATATTTCTGAAAAAGATTGTAAAATTGAGGATGGAAATGGGAAATGTGTCAAAGAAACAACAACCCGACCAAAGAGCAGAAAACAGCCGAAGGCCACCAATGGGTCTTCAATACAGCGAGAAAATCCCGCACCCGGATGCTTGCTTCATCTGGCCCCTAAACAAAAATGTGTACTAGTTCAGTGATAATTGACGTCATACTAAACTCCGCAATATATAAAAGAAACTAATATTAAAAATCATACAAGACTAACAAAGGCCAGAGGCTCCTGACTTGGGGCAGGCGCAATAATGCGGAGGGGTTAAACATGTTTTTTGAGGTCTCAACCCTCCCCCTATACCTCTAGCAAATGTAGAATACAAACACACAGCAATACGCACAGTAAAACTCAGTTTAAAAGAAGTCCGAATCCGATGTCAGAATAGGTAACAAAAGAAACTAAAAAAAATGACAATGATACATAAATTAACAAAGTACTACTAGCAGTTACTGACATGCCAGTTCCAGACCTCAAGTAAACTGATTGAAAGATTATGTCTTCATCATATGAATATCAAGCACAATCCCTCCCGTTAGGAGTTTAGTATCATACCATCATAAAATATATGAGAAGAACATAACCCGTATCATGCCAACAACTGCTTATGGAATAAATGTGTTTATTTCCGATGCAAAGACCCTATAAGTGAATCAATATAAATATGTTTTGTTCAACACTAATTTCGCCTGTTCCAAATAGAATATGTTCTATGGAAATAGCAATTAAGTGTTGGATTTTTTTAAAGAGCCTCCTTAAACATTTGTTTCTCCTATATTACATTTTAAGTATGTCGCAACCACGTATAATGAATTCATTATGAAAATTATGATATGACAGCAATTAGAACATTTGTAGGTAGTTGGTTTTCTCTGATTTAACACTAAACAGTACTGTACCAAAGGTTAAACTAGAGAATCTGAAGAGTTTGTCCTAGGCATATGTGCTTCTTCAACAATGGACACTCTGTAATATTGTGATTAGAATATTGTTCATGACAAAATCCTTATTCTTATGATCTTATATTTCTGATCGTTTCTGTTTCGCCTTGACGGAGTCAAAAAGCGAGATAAAGGTATGCTGTTTCCGGCGTCGGCGGCGGCTGCGTCGGCGACAATGTATTAGTTTGTGATTAGGTCTAGTTCATAGTGAACCACTAGTGGTAGGTCAATGATATTTGGTATGCATCTGTATTAGCATTGGCACGTCTCATTACCATGGAGATTATTTGGCCCCGCCCCCTCAGTCAAGGTCTATTGACTTTGAAACTTTTCATAGTTTACATGTATTAGTTTGTGATTAGGTCAATTTATGGGGAACCACTAGTGGTAGGTCAATGATATTTGGTATGCAGTTGTATAAGCATTAGCACATCTCATTTCCATGGAGAATATTTGGCCCCGCCCCCTCAGTCATAGTCTATTTACTTTGAATTATATCAGTTTAAGATGAACTGATAATGTTAAGTCAATGATATTTGGTATGCAAATTTATTGGCATTTGCAAGTATCGTTTCCATGGTGATTATATAGCCCCACCCCTGATCATGGTTCATTGACTTTGAAACTTTTACATAGTTTACAAGTTAATGTTTGTGTTTAGGTTTGTTTAAAGGGAACGACTTATGATAAGTCAATGGTATTTGGTATGCAGTTGTATTAGCATTGGCACATCTCATTCCATGGAGATTTTTTAGCCATGTACCTTCAGTCATGGTTCATCGACTTTGAATATTTGCATAACTTACATGTTAAAGTATTGCTATTTTAATTTCAACATTTGCATTATCAAAATTACAAAAAGGCGAGACATATCTCTGTGATAACAGTTTATTGTCTATAGTTTCCCTCTATCTTCTTCAGATTTTGGCCAAACAACAAAAAGGGCAATTAGTCAAAATTTTAGTTATTTTTATATCTTGCTGATTGGACTATTAAAAGGGTTTCTCTATCTTTTATAGTTATCTAGATCATAGATGAAAGCACTAAAATATTGGTAGAATCCGTCATTACAGAGCACGAACTCCAACAAGAAGTCGTCTGACGACTTTGACTTATGTGCAGATCTTATCTTTGTGATCATGTTTGCTTATTAACTTTCTATCTATCTTTTATAGGTTTTTTTTTCAGATATTTGGCAAATACACAAAAATAGGATAAAAATCGTCAATCAATAGTAATGATTTCAATAAGGAGTCGTCTGACGTTTCTAAAATGTTGACGTATTTGTAGATCTTGTCTTGTTGATAATTTTTGTTATTAAAAACTCTATATATCATAATTTGAAAGGTGAAAGGCAAAATTGAAAGAAATTGTAAAATTCGTCATTCAAGGGCATTCATTGTTTTTTAAGTCGTCCATGTTGGTTGGCAGGCGGGGTCAACCGTCACATTTTTAAACTAGAATAAGATACCCTAATAATAACGTTGGCTAATATAAAAAAAGAAGATGTGGTATGATTGCTAATGAGACAAGTCTCCACAAGAGACCAAATGACACAGAAATTATAAACTATTGGTCACCGTGCGGCCTTCAACAATGAGCAAAGCACGTATAAAAGGCCCCGAAATGACAATGTAAAACAATTCAAGCGAGAAAACTAACGGCCTAATAAGTTTGGTTTTTGGCCAAGTGGTTTCACATGAGATTTTTATAAAAGTTATTTTTATTTCTACGACGGACGACAGACGCCAGGCGATGAGAAAAGCTCGCTTGGCCCTTTGTGATAGGTGAGCTTAAAAAGGAAGTTTCAAACTTTTTGATAAAACACTGGAAGCGACTTGAAATCGAAAAATGGAGAAACTTTAGTCCAAAGGTTAAATTGTGCTTGCGAACACCGGAAACAATTTCACACTTACTAAATTTTCAATGCTTTCAGTATCATCCCATTCATTGTCTTCAGATAAAGTTGTTGACTGCCACATGTTATTCTCAACTTTTATGTCCATGGGAGATAACACTACTTCTGAGTTGGTGTCATTTTCCTTCTGATCATTTTACCCTTTAATTCAAGAGGTTCAGAAAAAAACTGAAAAATAAAACTGATTTTTATTGTATAATTTATTGTTCTGGATAAACAATAAATATACCTTAGTAAAGAAGCAATCGAAGTTAATAGATAATTAGATTAACAACTTTGTGCTGATAGTTTATTATGAACTATCACGGATTCTTGAAATTTTATGATTCTCTTAACCTATACAGATATTAACTGAGAAACAACATTGTTCTGTCTATTTTCACTGGGATTTTCAGCACCTCCATTTCAAATTTGGCGCTTAGATTTTCGAGGTCAAAAGTAATCAAAATTTAAACATTCGGTAACATAAAAAAAATGATAGTAATAGTTAAAAGGCAACGTGACAGCAACAAATTAAAATTATAGACATCTGTAGAAAGATTTCCAAACAATCACACAGACACATAAATGCAAGTATACTGATAGTCTCTCTTGATACAATAGTTCAATAATCAAACCCGTCAAACGAAACAGTACAAAAAGTGTTCCTTTTGAACAACATTTCTAAGACTCTCTCATCTTGCAATAGTGTTAAAACATTTGACTTTTCTACACTTTACACAAGTATTCCCCATTCCAAACTAAAAGACAAATTGAAAGAGTTGGTGTTACTTAGTTTCATTAAAAAGAATGGCGAACGTAGATACAAGTATCTTGTCTTGGGGAGGGATAAATCCTACTTTGTAAAGAATCACTTTGATTCAAACAAAAAATTCACTGAAACTGACATTATCAAGATGCTGGATTTCTTGATTGACAACATATTTGTTACGTTTGGAGGACGTGTTTTTCAACAGACTGTCGGAATTCCAATGGGAACCTCTTCTTGCTGACTTGTTTCTTTATTATTATGAGGCTGACTTCATACAGAAACTTCTTAGGAAGAAAGATAAGAAGTTAGCAATATCCTTTAACTTTACGTTCCGCTATATAGATGATGATCTCTCACTAAATAATACAAAATTTGGTGACTATGTTGAACGAATCTATCCCATCGAACTAGAGATAAAGGATACTACAGATACAGTTAAGTCTGCCTCATATCTTGACTTACATCTAGAAGTTGACAATGAGGGTCGGTTGAAAACAAAACTTTACGACAAGAGAGATGATTTCAGCTTCCCAATTGTGAACTTTCCATTTCTATGTAGCAACATTCCAGCAGCGCCTGCATACTGAGTATATATCTCCCAATTGATACGATATTCCCGGGCTTGTATTTCCTATCATGATTTCCTTAATAGAGGATTGCTGCTGACAAGGAAGCTATTAAACCAAGAGTTCCAAATGGTGAAGTTGAAATCATCCCTTCGTTAATTTTACGGACGCCATCACGAGTTGGTTGACCGTTATGGAATAACCGTTTCACAGATGATATCGGATATGTTCCTTATGTCGTAACTACAATACCCGTCCCTTTTCACGAATGTGACCTACCTAATTAGACTATTTACCGGATTTGTAATAACATAAGCAATACAACGGGTGCCACATGTGGAGCAGGATCTGCTTACCCTTCCGGAGCACCTGAGATCACCCCCAGTTTTTTGTAGGGTTCGTGTTGCTTAGACTTTAGTTTTCTATGTTGTGTCATCTGTACTATTATTTGTCTGTTTGTCTTTTTATTTTTGGCCATGGCGTTGTCAGTTTGTTTTCGATCTATGAGTTTGACTGTCCCTCTGGTATCATTCGTCCCTCTTCTCTAGCTTAATTCGCAGGATAAAAACAACATACTTATCCTAAAAAAATGTTCTGCTTACCTGTTTCTGAATATCTTTCAAACAATTTTATATTTTCCAAAAAAGAACGTCAATTCACCACAGAGGCAAATCAAATGAAATACGCACAATTAATATATATATAACTTACACCACTCAAGACAACGCATGGTATTTAAACTATCGATGATTAAAACTTTCATCACATAACAAATTCAAGATATATTGGTGCCTTTACTAATAAATAATATGAACATGATGATCTACAATATATGTAACTTTTTTCCGCATTTTACAGTGTTTGTAATTTGTTTCCAAGGGTCGAGTCATTTTTTTTCCTTTTTTTCCAAAACCTCGTAACCTCTATGGATGGCACAGTTGAACGTCAAACAAATTTGTTGTCCTATTTTACGGTCAATATCTTCTTACCTGATTGTAAACATGTAGGTCTCACAAAGTATGAAGTAGACAAAATTTTACGTGATCTAACTTTTATATCCGAAATAGTTTCTATCATGAACCGATCACGTGGTTACCCTTACCAATTTCATTGGCTAGCTCCTTTTTGCAGGGTGCTGACAATAATTTCTATATATTGATCTGAAATTTAAAGATAGGTATATATATAAATTTCATAATGGTACTTCAAACGTGGTAAATTGAAATAGACCAACGCATTTAATGTTTGGTGTTTATATCATTTTCTTCAGACACTTGTCAAAAACAAGAAGATCAAAGAAGCCAAGTTATTTAATTTCACTTTCAGATATATTGATGATGTTCTTCCCATTAACAATCCGAACTTTCCTGATTGGGTTCCATTAATATATCCCCCAGAACTAGAAATTAAAAAAACAACAGACACGCCTTCCTCCGCCTCATTTTTAGACTTATACCTCGAATTTGACATACACAGTCATCTCAGTGCCAGAATCTATGACAAACGAGACGATTTAAATTTTGAAATTATCAATTTCCCCCACCTTAGTAGCAATATACCAACTTTGCCTGCATATGGGATATACATTTCTAAACTTATTCGATATTCAAGAGCTTGCAGCTCCTACTCAGACTTTGTAAAACGTCACCAGTGTCTGAGCAGAAAGTTGATGAACCAGGGATATGTCAAAGAACGGCTCATCCTTTTCTAAAAAAGTTCATCGGAAGGTACCAAGACCTTGTTGATAAATATTCCGTATCAACCTCACAAATAATACACGATGGTCTTGAAGTATAGATTCTGCGTACTGACGTTGTTTATCATCTTAATAACGTGTTATAGTATTCTTTTATTTGTCTTTATTAATATTACTTTTACTGTTAAGTCTGTTTTTTGTGACATCCATTTGACGTGACTCTGTACTTATGTATCCCGTCATACTTTGAACGACAAAATTATTTTATTTTATTAATATTACTTTTACTCTGTTTTTTGTGATATCCATTTGACGTGACTGTGTACTTATGTATCCCGTCATACTTTGAACGACAAAATTATTTTATATCTACCTGTATGACGTCAAACGCGCGATTCTACGCCAGTACTTAAAACCTTCCATCTTTTATGGGTGAATTTAACATAGATAAATAAAATCGTATAATAACAAAGCAAAATGAGGATGTTAAATTTGATGTATGCCTTTTTGTGCTTCTTGGTTACATTTGTTTGTTTTTGTGGTGGTTGAGATGATGACACAATGTTGACTGCTGTACCCCTATTTTTGACATTTTTCCTGTTGTGTCTGTTTGTTTTGTTCACGCATCGTTGTCGTTATACTTGAATTTGATGCGACTGTCATACAAGTGAGAGGTTTGGCTAGCTATAAAACCAGGTTCAATCCACCGTTTTTTACATAAGAAAATGTCTGTACCAAGTCAGGAATATGACAGTTGTTATCCATTCGTTTGATGTGTTTGAGCTTTTGATTTTGCCATTTGATTAGGGACTTTCCTTTTTGAATTTTCCTCGAAGTTCAGTATTTTTGTGATTTTACTTTTTTCAAATTCGTTAAATATACAACTGTCCTTAAATTTGTCATAACCTTTTTCTTATATTTATTTTTGTGTATTTGTTAAATGTAAGTTTACAAATTTGGATCAGGTAATTTTACATTAAAAATGTAGGTCTCTTCAACCTATGATTTTCACGCAAAAATGTTATGCACCATTTTTAACCACCTTACTATTACAGAATTAAACAAATATAGTAATGAAACAGGACAATAAAATGGAGAATGGAAATGGGGAATGTGTCAAAGAGACAACAACCCGACCATAGAGCAGACAACAGCTAGAATAACTACTTCCAAATGATATTGCACTAAACGTGGTATTGATGACAATTTTTTTTAATATAGATGTAGATAATTTGAATAAGAAAAAAGATAAGAAAAAATATTCCATTCATAATGAAAACGTTTCTCAATGCTTATAGATGAATTTTATGCGTATAGCGTACCGATATCTAGTAATTGCGGACTAAAATAAAAATTCAAAAAAACAACATATTAGTATGTCTTTATGTGTGTGTGTGTTGTGAGGTGGGTGTTTTTTTTTTTATAGATTATCAATTTATAAGTGCAATTGAATTTTAAATCATGACTCTAAAAACGGAAACTAATGGGAGGATGGATGCATCCAAGACAATAATAAATTTGGTAAAACAACACTTTGTTCGAGGATCGAAAAATACAAGCAAGAAAAGGTATTGTGTAAAGAGTTTTGGGATTCTTAAATCCTTTTGCATGTAGACTTATACTACAAATACAAATGTATAATAAATCAAAGTGTCTGGTTTACTTCAAAGTGTAATTAAGTTTCAGTTACTTGGTGTGGATCCTCAGTTTGATCCCAGGTTTCTGACCAGGCCAAAGACTTGAAAATTGTAATTTGTAGCTTTTCTGCTATTCGCGCAGGTCGGTTCAGAGTCAGAAAGATATATTTTGGTACGTTGTCATGTCTTTTTTTTTGCGCACTGCTACCTTGTGATTTCGCTCGTTTAAAACCACTCCTAGTGACGGTCTTCTACAAAGCTAAGTGTCGTTATATAACAAATATATATACTCCTGATTAGTCAGGGGAATAGTAAATGCAGAAATGTTTTTTTTTCCTTTAGTCTTTTTTCTTAAGGAAATAAATTATGAATTGCTAGTTGACTGTCCCTCTGGTATCTTTCGTCCCTCTTCTA